GGGGGGGGAAAGGGTAGACACAAATATAGTAGTTTGCTCAAGTTCCTGACACAACCCTGAGCCCTGCAGCTCCAGCCCACCCGGACCATCCTCTCCTCTCAGAGCCATTCCTGGGGTTGCACTGACTCCTGCCTGCCACCAGAGAGTGTCAGGCTCCCCAGCGTTCTGACAGCAAGACTCCTTACCTAGCAGAGGCCCGGCCAGGGCTGGATGACACCAGAGGTCCCCTCAGGTGGCTTGGCACAGGGAAAAGTACACTATTAAGCTGAGTCAACTTGGTTCGGGCACTAGACTCTTTAGACCTTCCCTGGCTAGGAAATGAAAGGACTGGGCTAGAAGACCTCTGAGGTTTTTTTCAGTTTCCAAATTCAGATTACATGATTCTAAAAGTACTCTTGAAAATTTTTCAGAGGTAGAAGAAACCCCACAATTGAAACACAGTTTCAGTAGACAGACTTCTAGTCCCTGAGCTATTGCAGAGCCCCCGACCCCAACAATGCCACAGAACACAGGTGATGGTTCAGTAACTGTTCCTACCCTTTGTTCAGAATTCTTTTATAACAGGCCCACCTGCATATCAGTGATAGCACAATAACTAACATTTGTAAGCATGGTCTTAAGGCACCAGGGAACCTGAAGAACATTCAGAGATCTTCAGCTTAGTTTCACTGAGTTCCAGACCCTACCCACCATTAATTAGCTGCCTGCCTTTGGCACACTTTAATCTCTCTGTACAAAGGTTTCCTCATCTGAAAAACAAAGGAATCTCTTTTCCTCTACACATCCATGATTATATATGTATCTTATCATCTATTAAACTAACCCTTTGAAAATGTGTGACTTGTGGCATATATATGAATTCCTTGTTATCCTGAATGCCCTACTTCCCTGCTGGACCAGAAAGCAGAGAGACTGAATTAGAAAGGTCAAATCTGATTGGCTTCTTTAAAGAGCAATCTGACAGCAGCTATCAAGTTATCTTTAAAATGTTTAAACCCTTCACCTAGTAACTCTGCTTCTGGCAATCCATCAAGGACATAATTCCAAAGTGCAGAAACAGTTGCACTGACAAGTCGCTGTGGCCCTATTCAAAATGGACAAAAAAATAACACAACCTAAAATTCAACAATGGGGGAAATCCAACAATTATGAGTTCACAGAAGGTTTTCCAATAATGTGAGATAATGCTCTTGTTCTAATGTTAAGGGGAAAAATCAGGATATAAAAGTACCTATATATGTTTACACGTAATTATAATTTTATATCTAAAAAAGATATAAAAAGACTAGGTGGATTGGCAGCAAAATGTCAAGCTTTTCTTTGGTCTGTTTTTTGTGTTTTGGGGGGAACACAGTGAATAGGGGCTTTGATTTACCACCTAATGCCTATACTGTCACCGCATCTGCTTCTCTCAATGATGTGAGCTCTAACCCCTTTGGTGCCAGTTAGTTGGTTCTCCGGTAATTCTCTTTGTAAAGGTAACATACACTGAACTAAGATGTCTGGGTATTCTCCTTGATACTCCCTTAGTGAACACATTTACCAACATGAAAGGAACAGCAAACTCTTGTTGCTAGTCTCAAGTCAACACTGGGAGAGAAACAAAAAGTTACCTCTTTCCAGGAGAACTGACTTCAAAACCATGGATTAAAATCATTTAACCACAGAAAAGAAAAACTGAAATTGATGGACTAGTCTATCTTGAAACACACTTATTGGCCCTTTAATAATCGGCCCTTTAATAGTTTTGCCCCTATGCAAAATAAAATGTTTTACATAAGTTCTTAAAAACTCACTGTACACATATGCTCTCCTTCCTGTGATTTGTGCTGAAGCCAATTCATTTCATTGATTTGGCTGGAAATCAGAAGCTGCATGGTTAACAGTTGTATTGTTCAACCTGCTCCGACGTCAGGGATGTTTATTTTGAACAACCCTGGTTTCCAAACAGTTTGGTTTCTGGAGCACTGGCAAATGGGGTACCTGGCATCTCTTTTTATAAGAAAAACCATTTTGGCAGCTTTGGAAAGGCAAGGTGCTTTGCTTTTGATAAATGATGAATTCTGTCTGATTAACCTGCCAGGTCCTTTACCTTTGATGTTTTCTCCTACAAGTTCCCATTACATAGGTCCTTCCACTCATTCAAAGGAGAAAACCTGCCAAGATCTGTTTCTGTGTTACTGTTTTTCATCACTCACAGTCTCTTTGTGACAAGACACATGAAGATCATTAAGTGGTTTTGGGGTCACATGAGAGTCTAAGAACAAAATGTTAACCCACCTGCTGGTATTTGGGCTCCTGTTTCTTTCCAAACTGTGCTTGGCTCCTTGAGAGGGCTGCGATTGTTCACTTGTGCCCTGTTTTCCAGGTCCACTAAAAGTTGGCAGCTTAAAAAGAGTAGACCTGTTTCAGTGCTTTGATGAAGGAATTCCTCTTCTCTTCACTCTCACATTCTATTTTTTAAGCCATTCTTGCTAAATGTGCAGAAATAATTGAACCTACTAAGATGATTTCCCTTTTCATGTTTCATACCTAATAACTCATATATTGCGTGGAGGTCTTTACATAGAGAAGCTGGCCCCCAAGAACCCAATACAGACTGGGAGCAAGTGAAGAATAAGCAGACAAAAGAGACATAAAAAAATCCCAAAACTTTCCCCTATATTATTATTGAGGCAGCAAGCTTTGTGGCAGGAAACCGGGGCCCTGGGTTCTAGTCAAACCCTTACTCAGAATAACCTAAGAAAGTCTTGTGCTTCAGTTTCCTCATCCATAAAACTGGGATGTAGTATCTATCTGAGTCCACCAGTGAGGATGCTATGAAAATAAAGCACACTAAAATAAAAGCTACAATACTTTGGAAACAGAAGTAAATTAAATCACAGGCGCCTGTATGGCTCAGTCAGTTGAGTGTCCGACTCTTGATTTCAGCTCAGGTCATGATCCCAGGGTCGTGAGATCCAGCCCTGCCTCAGGCTCCACACGGAGCCTGCTTAAGATTCTCTGTGTCTGTCTCTCCCTCTGCCCTTCTCCCCCACTCATGTTATCTAAAAAAAAAAAAAAAAAAAAAAAAAAAAAAAAAAAAAAAAAAAAAAAAAAAAAAAAAAAAGGTAAATTAAACACTGTATATTTTATCCCAAAGAAAGAATTTTGGATCTGCTCATTCCAAGTTTAACAAACTTAGTTCATTGTACTTCCTAACCTTTGGCAAATTGAGACAACAAATGTGGTATTTTGGGATGACATCAAGATGCCTAAAAGTGAGAGGATGCACAAAAATGATCATAAGCTCCCTAAAGTATGAGCTCCAGAGGACTCTGTGTGGGGGAGAAGATTCCTTAGCAGGGGCTAAGGGCAACAACTTTATCATGGAGCATCAAGTAACAGATGTTCTGAAAAATGTCATGGTCACCAAGGAAAGATTAGAATATATTCAAAATAGGTATTTAGGATAATGGGAAGTTTGTAATGTTTTCATTTAGTATGATTAAAAATTTAAGAACTGATAAATTAATGGATTTCAATTAACTGAAAAATCCATTTAGATGGAAATGCCTTATTCCCTGATTATGCTAGAAAAGCAGGGTAGATTTTTTAAAGAAAAATTCAATATGGTACAATTGTTTTATCCATAGTCATATGTATTAGTCATATCCATAGTCATATGAGGCTTGCCATGAATTCCTTCCCTTGTTGTCCACACTGCCACAAGATAGCTGGAACCTATTTCCCTCCTCTTGAATCTGGGCTGGCCTTGCGGCTTTGACCAACAGAAAGTAGCAGCAGTAATAGTGTCCTAGGGCTGGGACTAGTTTTTAAAGAGGCTTAGCAGTTTCAGCTTTCACTTGGGAAGGCAGCTGCCATGCTGTAGAGAAGCTTGGATGAGATTATTTATTGGATGATGAGAAGCCAAGTGCAGAGAGGGGCTGCTTGGAGGAGGCCAAGGCACCAGGCATGTCAATGAGGCCTTGAACCTTCTTGCCTATCCCAGCCTTCAGCTGAATACAGTCAAGAGAGTGATCCCAGCCCATGCCACACAGAGAGAATCACCAGGTAAGCCCTGTCATATTCCTGACCCACAGAATTGTGAGAAATAAATTATTGTTTTAAGCCACGAAGTTTGGGTTTTTGTTGCTGTTATTACATAGTGATAAATAACCAAAACATAACATACAAGGAACCTTTTTATTATTATTATTTGAGAGAGAGAGAGAGAGACAGAGAGAGAGAGAGATGGCTGGCAGGGGAGGTGGATGAGGGAGGGGGGGTAGGAGAGAGAAGGAGGGGAGGAGAGAGGGAGTGAGAGAGTGAGAGAAAGAGAGAGAGAGAGAGAGAGAGCAAGAAGAGAATCTTAAGTAGGCTCCACGGTCAGCATGGAGCCTGACAGAGGGCTCAATCCCATGACCCTGGGATCATGACCTGAGACAAAACCAACAGTAGGATGCTCAACAAACTGAGCTACCCAGGCGCCCCAAGAAAACTTATTTCTAATTGTTTTCTAATAAATTTGAAATTTCAATATAAACAGAAATTAGAGTCTAATTAAGTTCTTTGTGCCTTCTTTTTATACAAAAAAAAAAATGCCAACACTTTTGCAAATGTTTTAAGTGAGGACTGAAGTCTGACATTCAGCAGGGCACAGTGAAAGAACACTAAACTAGGAGTGAAGAACTCTGCCCCTAATCAGTTGTGGGCCTTGGCAGTAGTGTAGTAAGGGGGGGGGGGGGGGGGGTGGCGAGGGGAGCTGTCTGCCCTGTGCAGGCAATTAAAGGATGTACTACAGGTAGAGAATTTTTAAACTATAATAAAACCCACTAAAAGCTGGCCAGCTTTTTATCACTGCAGGCCAGCAATTCTAAATAATTTCAGTAAAAAGTCCTCCTTCTAAATGAGGCTGACCTCTCCTACCTCAACCCCACCTCTGTAACACCTGGACATTAGGAAGTTTAAGGCACTGAACTTGAGCTTCATACTCTGTAAAATGATGGGGTTGATCCATCTCTAAAATCCTGGTTCAAGAGGCAGCCAGCATTCCATGTGTGAACTTGTTCAGACTCATTCATTTATTCATTCCCTCAGTGACCATTTGCCAAGTACCTACTATGTGCCAGGCACCCTTGCTAGGACACAGAATGAGTAAGACACAGACCCTGTCCTTAAGGAGCTCATGGAAGAGCTACAACCTCACTAAGCCTCAAGCTACACCTGCCAAGCCAGCTCCCATGGTATCTTCTCACCTCCTTTGAGGTGTCTTCTTTGATGACCAGGTCCATCTGTCCCATACTGGGGCTACTCATAGGTAGACTCTGTGGCTCATGCATCATCATATCCCAGAGTCTAATGCATAGCCTCTGGCTCTATAAATGTTTATTGAATGAGTGAGTAAATGAATGACTAAACAATTTAGAATGGGGATTAATACCTGCCCAAGATACCATATTTAGTAAGTTGAACCACGTATAATTGTCAATACTTGAATATTTTCACCTATAAGACAGCAATTTCAAATAGTTCAATCTGATGCATGGATTACAAAGAACATGGGCTGTATGTTGGGTTTGGAATGAGAGATGAAGAGTATCTACCTTGGAATTCCATCCTAGAGGCCTTATTTCCCAAAGCCAAGAGGACCCCACTATGAGTTGGTTGTATTTAGGTTAGTCCTTGCACATGGATTAGGGGCTATGCTGAATCATGTTCCAGATCCTGCTCACGCTGCCCTGCCTCCCACTTAGCTGTACCTGATGGCTCTTCTCTGACTGATCCCCAGTGCTTTCTTCAGAGACTTGGATGACAGGTTTCCAGCCACAGTCACTTCTTTTCCTGGACCTTTTGCCAAAATGTCCTCCTTGAAAGTCTCTCACCATGGAAGATCTTGTCAGGGTTTGGCAATTGCCACTGGTGTCCAGCTGCTGGCCTCTCGGCAGCTGCATGACAGGTGGAACATAGGTGGAAGCTGGGGGGCCCAAGGCTGAAGGTGAGTCATAAATGTTTGTAAACTCTCTTGAAGAAGCCCACAAAGACCTGTACTCCTCCTGCCCCTTTTGTATCATCTCAAGTTTATCAATTCTCTGTTCAGTATTCCTCAGCAAATCGGCATTCTGGTACATTAATGTCTGTGAAATCTTCAGATTCAGCACACACTTACTGATGTACTCCTCGGTCATGCACCTATTGCTCCCATTGCCCTTGGCTTCTCTGGCTAGCTCAGGTAGGCTGGGTGAACTAAGAGAACCATTTTGCCAATCCCAGTCCTCAAAGGAGAGCTCTGTGTCAGCTTCTGAAGAGCTCTCGTCCTCATCATAAAAACAGCATGCTTCTCTCTCTATCTTTTCCAACTCTTCTTCCATGGACTTTAGTTCATCTGCTTGGCTTGGTCCAGCTCCCACAACAGATGAATCAGCTCCTGGGGGCTCCTCCTTCGTGTTATCTCCCCTGTCCAGGCAGCCTGAGTAGATTTCATTGATTTCGAAGCTGCAGAGGCTAGCCTGACCTGGGCTGGGCCCCCTGGCGTCCTCTTCCATCACAGAGCAGGCAGGAGAAGCAGCATCTCGGTTCTGAGTCTCCTTGGCCATCAGACCTGGATCTAGGACCTGAGGATCTGGTGTTGCTTTCTCCGTGGGTGAATGAAGCCTGGGTGAATGAAGCCGACTGCCTGCTGGAAAGAGTGGCAACATGCAACTGATTAAAGTGATCACACGCAGCAACTTAGCAGCCTTAGCATGTTGCTCCAGCGATATGAGAATGGAGAAAGAAACTTTTTAGTTTCCCATTCCCTTCCCAGGTGTGGAAGACTACAAGATACACTCCCAGGAGGTGAGGGAGTATTTCTAAGAGATGAAAATTCCCATTTTGACATGAGTTGAGGTAGAAAATTGGGGAGGGGTCAAACCCTGGGGAAAATGTTCTAAGCTTAAGTTACAATGTGTTCAAAACATGCCTAACTATCAGGACATGCAAATTACAGGCCCCTGAATCTTAAAAACTAAATTCATAGCTTTCTTTACACACACAGGAGTTTGAATATTCATGTCAAAGTTATGCTCTTGGTGAGCATCTGATAAAAGTAGCCAAGACACTGCCCGAGAAGCCACTACATAATGGGAAGAATAATTAATTCAAAAAATACCACTAGAACTGATCACCCATCACCTCTGGTTGATGGTATACAGCTTGCAGAGAATGGGATGGAGGAGCCAAAGTAATGAAAGCTTGTTGGAGGTCATTCTGGAGGCCTCCAGCCCTGTCCAAAGAGAGGCAGAAAGAATGGTCACTTGGCCTGGATTCCAGCTCTCTAGTAAGTTCTGGAATCCTGAGCAAGCCATAACCTCTCTCAACTTTAGTGTTCTCATCTGGAATATGAGGATATTAAGCCAGATGACTGCAAGGTCCTTTTCAGCTCTGCATTCTAAGATTTCTTTTTTTTTTTTTTTAACGTTTATTCATTTTTGAGAGACAGAACAGAGCACGAGTGGGGAAGAAGCAGAAAGAGAAGGGGACAGAATCCAAAAGCAGGTTCCAAGCTCTGAGCTGTCAGCATAGAGCCCAATGCGGGGCTCAAACTCACTGACTGCAAGATCATGACCTGAGCTGAAGTCAGACACTCAACCGACTGAGCCACCTAAGTGCCCCTAAGATTTCTAAATGTACGAACAAAGCTATAAAACTATATGAAAAGCTTAGAGGGAAACACCAAAATATTAACAAATTATTTCTAAGTGGCAGAATTAAAATAAGTAATTTTCTTCTTTGTATGATTTCAAGTTTTCTATAATGAGCAGATAATAGTTTTAAATATAAAAATCACCATTTTGGGGGATGCCTGGCTGGCTCAGTCAGTTAAGCATCTGACTCTTGATTTTGGCTCAGGTCATAATCTCACAGTTCAGAATATTGAGCCCTATGTCGGGCTCTGCCTGCTTGAGATTCTCTCTTTCCCTCTCTCTCAAAATGAAATTAACTTTTAAAAAAAATCACCGTTTTTATTTGTGAAGCAATTAAATAAATGCCTAAGAATAATCATACTAGAAATAAACTGGCTGTTACTGCTTAGTTCTGTAGCCAAAAATATTTAACTTAGTAATTTCAAGGATCTTGATTTTTCTTGAAGGCATCAATCTTTTCCCAGTATAAGTGATGTGTACAGTCTGGAGGAGTTGATTAGTTGTAGCCTGCAACTCTTGGAACCCATTCATGTCAATTAATGCTTAACCTGTGGGTTAAGGCCATACCTGTTTCCTTTAGCTCTTTTATTTCCAAGTTAGGGGTCTCTTTCAAATGTTCTGACATCAGTCCTAGACAAACATTGACATCAGGATGGAGTTCATATCTCTGCATCTTGGGGCTCTCAGTTGGCTGAGTTCTCTGGGCTCCGAGAAAATCCTATAATAAGGGAAATATCATCAAGGACATATTTGCAATTATCTGAATGTCACTAGTATTTTTTAAGCAGGTCTAGGTATCAAATAAACTTCTTCTTCCTGTTGGGTAGACTGACTGTAATCCAAATTAGCTAATTCATTGTTATTACCAATATATATTTTTTTAATTTTAGAGAGAGAGCGTGAGCAGGAGTGAGGGGCAGAGGGTGAGACAGGGGGGGAATCTTAATCTCCGTTCAGCAAGAAGCCCGACATGGGGCTCTATCCCATGACCCTGGGATCATGACCTGAGCCAAATCAAGAGTCAGACGTTCAACCAACTGAGCCACCCAGGCACCCCTACTATTTTTTAAACAGTAACAATAGCTTCCAGTCACTGAATAGCATTATGTGCCTACAGGATACCTCTACTATGTGCCAACCTTCTCCAGCCCTCCTCATCAATTTCCTGCTGCCCTAACCAAGTGAAGCAGCTAGCAGCTCCTTTTCTTGGGAGCACAGAAAGGATATGATGAAATGAGGATTTCCAAAACTTCTTTCAACTAGCTTCTTCCTCATCTCTAACCCCCTATGCCTCTGTGACGAGTAAGCCGAAATAAAGTCCTAACAGCTTCAGAGCTTACCTTTAAGTCGTTCTTCAAAATGTACCGGATATCTTGAAGGTTCATAGTTCGGTCTTTCTGCTTGACCTGGATGCCTGACTTAACAATATCATAATAAGGTTTTGGAAGCCTTACATCAGCTTCTAAATAATTTCCCAAGACTATGGCTTCTTTAATAACTGAGCCATCTAAGCCATTCCAGGGTATGTTATCTGGTAAAGAAAAAGTCACAGGAAAAAGTAACATAAAGAAATCATGTTTTAAAAAAAGAAGAAATCATGTAAAATTGGGTAATTGGGGTAACCTTAGTTAAGTCACTCAACCCCTTTAAACATTAATTTCTCTTTATAGAAAAAACTATCTGGATGACCAGTCATAGACAAGAAACCACTTTACCCATTTACCAGGGAAATCCCTGCTACGGAGACAGGAACAAGTACTGTCAGAATTATGTACATGTGGGCTCCCTGCTGGCAGACCTGGAGACCACAGGAAATGTTTCATGGCATCAGGATGGGCAGCTCAGTGCACTCCTCTCATGGAAGGTGTGGTTTTGCCTCTCAGATTGTAAACACTGCTAAATGAGAGGGAACACTCACTTACCTCCTCAGTGAATGTGGTTTTACTGTGTGTGTGTGTGTGTGTGTGTGTGTGTGTGTGTGTGTGTGTGCCCTCTCCTGAAAGATTCCTTCTATCTTCAGATATGTGATCACTTCCTTAGCATTAGGGTCTTGAAGGATTGCATGGCTTCCATATCTGTCAGGTGACACTGCTTATATACACATTGAACTCTAGGTGTATTTGGTTTCATAGTTTATTTCTCAGAGGCCAGTCTTTTCTCCTCGTTTACAAGTTCTTGAAGGGCACCTCACAGAGACCCTTAAGCACTGACAGCAATATTCAGTTTAAAAACTATGTTTGGATTGGGGCACCTGGGTGGCTTAGTCGATTGAGCGCCTGACTTTGGCTCAGGTCATGATCTCACAGCTTGTGAGTCCAGGCCCATCAGGCTTGCTGCTGTCAGCGTGGAACCTACTTCGGATCCTCTGTCCCCCTTTCTCTCTGCTCCTCCCCTTCTCATGCGCTCTCTTTCTCAAAAATAAATAAACATTAAAAAAAAAAAAAAAACTTTGCTTGGATTAAATGCATCACCACTAATAGGAGGATAGGTTGGCTTTGCTGAGTCTCAAAGAACAAGTCAAAAGAGATTTCTGGACAATCACCTCATATCTTCTATTAAGTACAAAGAAGTTTCCGTGAAGAAATCTCTTTTTCCTATGTTCTGAATTTTCATAAAAGTAACTCCTGTGAAAAAAAAAAAAAACCCAACCCAAGAGTAGAGACTCTGGTCATAGTGAATGTGCTCTTGGATCTACCTGTTAAAATCTCCTGTATGATCATCGAAAAGCTGTAGATGTCCGACTTCACTGTGGCTGCCTTCTCTAAGATCACCTCCGGGGCAGCCCAGTTGTACAGCTGGGTTGGGAGGGGCACTCGAGTCAGGTCCCTGTGTACACGTCCATCCTGGCTACAGAAGGAAACACAAGGTCAGACTCATGTCTTAAAGGATCATCATGACCATCACACAGTACCTCTGTGAAACATCTACCTCTGAAGACTGGCAACCTCCTTGAGCTTCTAGAAACCCAACTAGACCCTGAGCTAACCCTCGCTGCCTGCTGTTTCAACCTACCTGAGTGGGCCCTGCCCACCCTCCAACCTCATCTGGCTCTCTCTCACTCAAGTCACAGGGGCCCTCTTTGAGTTTCTCCAGCATGCCAAGTGACATCACCATTTCAGGTCTTTGCACTGGAAACTGGCTTCTTTTGCATGCCATGCTCTGCCCAGAGATCCTAGCTTGACTGGCTGCTTCTTATAAGAAAGGTATTAGCTTGAAAATTATCTCTTCAGAAAGGCCTTCCCTGACCATCTGTAGTCCTGTTTTATTGGCTTCAGAGCACATATTATCTGAAGTTTTGTTCATTTACTTACTGTTTATTATCTGTCTCCCCTCTGCTAGAGTCAGCTCCATGAGAAGAGGCACCTTATCTGTCTTTTATATCATGTATCTCTAAACTTACATGAGGGCCTCAATGCCTACTTAAGACTCTGTCAAGACCCCCCTCAAGCTCCATCTGCTTTATCAAAGTCCCTTGTGGGACTCCTCCAATTCCGGTGATTGCTTCTCTTCTGAACTCTGCCCTCTTGGGAACAAGTCCTTTCAGTTCATCACTCAAAGGTTCACTGATGTGTTTGAAAAACTCAACTGGGTCCCAACTAGACTCCTTGAGAACTAAGTCATAGCATCCTCAATATCTGCTGAGCCAACAAGAGTCCTCAGGGTGAAGTTAGCGCCCACTTCCATCTACAGGTGTCATGAAAATCTAATGAGACCTTGTATGTGGAGAACTCTCTGAGCCATAAAGCACTATGCAAGTAAGTTATTAATATGAATGTTATGGTAGGCATTTGGTAAAGACTGAGGACTGCTAAGTTAAGAATTAAGTTTTTGAGGCACCTGTGTGGCTCAGTTGGTTAAACATCTGACTTCAGCTCAGGTCATGATCTCACAGCTTATGAGTTCAAGTCCTGCATTGGGCTCTGTGCTGACAGCTCAGAGGCTGGAGCCTGCTTCGGATTCTGTGTCTCCGTCTTTCCCTGACCCTTCCCCCACTCATGCTCTGTCCCTCCCTCCGCCTCAAAAATAAACATTAAAAAAAATTTTTTTAAAGCAAGTGACCAGAAGTTCTTTGCTGGTCTAGTGAAGGCCAGATTTGAGGATGGGATGGGCTTCTTGGACTTTGAGCAAACCTCCCTAAATAATATTTCTTCCAGCAGAGCTTTTGGTAGATGGCAGTGAGTTCAGGAAATCATGAAATGAAAGCTGGTATTGACTTTTTGGTTGTATTGCTAAATAGTTAGATGTGGCCTAGTATAATGTGAACAGCATACAAGCATGCCAATATCACAGGAAAAGCAATGGAGTGTTTTCCCACCACAGAACTCTGAAGTCCTAGTATGAAGTCCTAGTCCTACTCTGAAGACCTAGTATGTTTGGCTCTTCACTTCACAGGCTGATTCTCCAAGGGAAACACTCACTACATTCTCAGACCTCTTAGGCTTGTCTAAGGTTCAGATAAGGGTAAGTCACTTACAACCAGTATTTATATCCTTTCTCTTTTACTTCCACTCACCTTCTTCTCTTACAATCCTCCTTTCCTCTCTGTTAAAGATAGTCGTAGGGGGGTGGGGGGGTGGCGCTTCTTTTCTGGCTGTCATTCTGGGGCAGTTATTTTTCTGAGCTTCAGCTCTGACATCATTAAAATTACATTTGGCTACAGCTATGTGATACCACTTGCAAGGTCAATCCCAGCTCTAAAGATTCCATTAAGAAGGAGTTGAAGAATAAGAAAAACTGCTCTGTCATTTTCATACCATGAGATGGAGTGTTACCCTTGACAATGACATTCAACAAATAAAATGTTTCCAAAAATAAATGTGGAATTGAAAGCTATTTTGGATTCTTGGATCCCAGCTCATGTTATCAGCTGTCAAAGAAGGATGTGCCGTTGTGGCTGTAACTGCTCGCTGACTGACATTTCTGCCTGAGATTCCATTCTGAGGTCAGCAAACCCAAAAGGAAACACACACCTTCCTACTCAGTTATCTCCCAGCCCCTCATTTGACTAATCTGTGAACACCAGCTTCTCAATGCATCTCACATTTTTCACTTCTATTCTGATTCTGTAGTCACCACCACACCCTACACAGTGGCCTCCTAGTTGGGCTTCCTATCCTCAACCTCTGATCCATTCTCTCCTGATAGCCCTCTACCACTTGGTTGTAGCCATAGCTGGGTAACTTCAGACCAGCTCTTCACCTCTCTGGGCCTTGGTTTCCTCATCTGTAAAAGACAAGATTGGGCTGGGGCATCTCCAAAGTTCTAGTTCACTCTAGGATTCACATTTCTACAGAGAGCTCAGGCAGAAGAAACTGTTATACCTCCATGTAAACAACAGATGGTGCTCCATCACCAGCAAATAGATTGTATTCTTTCACAGGCTTCCTGAAAAGCCTTTGTTATGGAAGACAAAAATGTCTAAACACCTTAGCTTTCACTGCTGCTGAGCACATAGCCAAAGTGACCAATCCCATTCTGAACAATTTCGAGTTTCCCCATCATCTACACTCATCTGTTCACTTAACCAACAAATACCGAGGACTTACTACATGACAGGCCCTGAGCTGAAAATGAACATGCACCGTTCCTGTCCTCTCAAAGGTCACCATCTGGTGGGACAGACACATAGCTGTGGAGGAAAGGAATATGCTAAGTACTCGGGGACCAGAGCTTCAGTACAGGCTTCACGGGTGTGGTGAGACACTGTGCCTGAGGAAAATTTAAAGGATAAACAGGCAAGTTATTCACTGAGAGGTGGCCTATACTGAAAGAGGCTTTGGAGGGCCAAGCAGGGAATGGGAAGTGAGAAGGTTGGCACTGTGGGTAGAGCCTCACGTTGGAAGGCTTCCACACCCTGCAAAGTGCCTGGACTTAAATCATGTAGGCAATGGGGAGACACTGAAAGGTTTTCACTGGAACTGAGAATGGACTTGATCCAAGGCTGTGCAGCTCAACTGGGGACAGCTGTCTGGCCTCTACCAGTTCTCATGTGGACAAGTACTACAGTTACACCCTAACTGCTTCCCTGCCTCTCTCCTGTCTCCTCTCAGCCCCTTCTTCACATGTAGGAACGAGAAGGATCTTAGCCTGTCAATCACCCATGACACCATCCGCTAAATAAATAAATAAATAAATAAATAAATAAATAAAGCCCTTCAAGCATCCCAATGTTCTTAGGATAAAATAAAAACTCTTCACCAAGGTCCACAGAGCCAAACACAACCAATTCCCCCCTTAAAGGACTAAGGGCATGCGTGGTTTGGGAAGCAAGACTTTCTGTTTCATTCATTCAAAAAACATATGCGGAGTGCCCACCACATGAAGGCCTGCTCTAGGCATTTGAGATACAGCAATGGATAAAATGGAAATCCCTGGAGCACCTGGGTGGCTCAGCGGGTTAAACTTCTGACTTCCATTCAGGTCATGATCTCCTAGTTCGTGGGTTTGAGCCCTGCATTGGTTTCTGTACTGACAGTTTGAAGCCTGGAGCCTGCTTCAGGTTCTGTGTCTCCCTTTCTCTCTCTGCCCCTCCCCTGCTCATGCTCTCTCTGTCTCTCTCAAAAATAAACAAAACATTTAAAGAAAAAAACGGAAATCCCTGCCCTCATAGAGCTTTTCACATAGTGAGAAAAACATTAGAGGGTATGCAAGAAGGAATGACCAGCAGAGAGCCTCCGAAACAAAGCCTCAGTGATTGGTGGGTAGGTGGGGGCAAGGATAAGCCAACATAGGCAGGTCTGATCATGAGCTCTGCCCAGTGGCTCAAGCTTCACAGCAGAGCAGAACCAACAACAGGCTGAGGCTCAGAAGGCAGAAGGCAGCACAGAAGCACAGGGGAGATCCTCTGCCTTCCAGAACCTAGGGGCAGGAGATGGCACATGCCCCCAACTCTCTGGAGGACTTTGACTCTTGCCGACAAGGAAATGAATCCCATCCACCAACCCTGAATGAGGGTGTTGTTTTGTCTCCACCTACCTCACTGTGCTTAGGCCCTCGAGGGCAGGGAATGGCCTTAGTGCCCACCTAGCCAAGCACCTGGCCCAGGAGTAGGAGGTGTGACCAATTGTGAGGCTCATCAGCACCCATCACCTTCTCTCTCCTTCCAAGATGCACAGCTATGGCACATTTCCCAGCCTCTCTGCAGTGCAGAGGTGACTGCAAAGTGGGAAGCCATGACTTAGCCAATTCAGACTGGACCTTAAACACCATGTGCCCCTCCATGTTCTCTCTTCACTGACCAGAAATGCAGAGGACACAGTGGGGGACTGAGACTTGGAGACAAGTGAACCATGGATGGGAGGAACCTAGAACCCAATGGGTGCCCCAATACACACACTAGACTGCAATGTGAGTGAGAAACACACCTTGGTTTATTAAGCCACTTAAAATTTTGAGTTGAATAGTTAGGGCATTTACACATATTGGCTAATATGGGCTCCTTGCTTGTTAAATGTGCATTAAAATGATAATGTCCTGAGCAGAAGTAACTTCCCTAAAGTCCCTCTAACGTTGACAGACAGGTCAAGGCATTTGGGAAACCTCTTTCCCCAAAAATGAAGAGTTCAGCCCACCAATGAGGAAGAGTCCTGTCCAGATCAGATTCTTTCTCTAGAGCACCCACCTTTCCATCATGTACTCCAGGTTGGTCAGCCTTGCTTCCCCAGCAGAGACAATGTGGATGGCGTAGGAGCTGAGGGAGCGGTGGATAAACCCCCGGGAATGCAAGTATCTCAGGGCATCAGAGATCTGGAGCAGCAGATGCACAATCACCTCCATGTGGAGCACGGGGAACTGGGACCGCTAGAAGCAAGGGATAAAACAGCAAGGAACAACGCTGGGCTCTGGACACTACAGAATGCTTTGCAGTTTCCAAAGTCTTTTCAACTGATCCTCACAGCTACCTAGGGTCCTCATTTTATAAACGGGGACCCAAAAGCTGAAGGTTAAATGACTGGCTTAAGGTCCCACTGACCCTGGCCCTCTGGCTCCAAGCCTAGACTCCTTTCTCTGAACTGAGCTGTTTCACACCACAAAAACTGAAGAGACAGTTCTGAAAGCCTGGTATGTACATCCAGGGTGGGCTCACCACCACCACCAATGAGCCTGCCCTGCACCCATCTAAGCCTGTGCTGCTGAGAACTTGGAAGCTTAAAGGACCAGTCCAGCCCCTGCCCTGGGCAGAATGACTGATCCTAAGGGGAAAGAAATTCACTCACACCAATGTAGCTGACTGATCAAAGTCATACTGGTCTCTCCTCAGAGAAATGGCATTCTTTTTTTTAAAAAAAATTATTGAAATATGATTGACATATAATGTTATGTTAATTTCAGGTGTACAACACAATATTTCAACAGTTCTATATGTTATATAATGCTCACCATGGTAAGTTTAGTCACCATACATTACTACGACATGACTATATTCCCTATGCTATACCTTTCATCTCCATGACGTATTTTGGCTTGTTTTTGTTTTTGCTTTTTTTTTTTTTTCAACTTTTTTTTTTTTATTTTTTTTTTTATTTTTGGGACAGAGAGAGACAGAGCATGAACGGGGGAGGGGCAGAGAGAGAGGGAGACACAGAATCGGAAACAGGCTCCAGGCTCTGAGCCATCAGCCCAGAGCCTGACGCGGGGCTCGAACTCACGGACCGTGAGATCGTGACCTGGCTGAAGTCGGAGCTTAACCGACTGCGCCACCCAGGCGCCCCTGTTTTTGCTTTTTTGAGAGAGGGTGCAAGTGAGCGAGGAGCAGATAGGGAGGGTAAGAGAGAGAATCCCACAAGGGGTGAAGAGGGAAGGAGGCAGGGGGAGAGGGAGAGAGGTGGGGGGAGATAAGCGGGGCTCACCTGAAGCGGGGCTTGAGCTCACAAAACCGTGAGATGATGATCTGAGCCAAAGTCCAATGTTTAACTGACTGAGCCACCCAGGTGCCTCTCCATGATTTGTTTTGTAACTGTTAAGTCTGTACCTCTTAATCCTCTTCACCTATTTTTCCCACCCCCTACCCTCCACCCCTCTGGCAACCACTAGTTTGTATTTATGAGTCTATTTCTGTTTGGTTGGTTGGTTGTTTAGTTTCCATACACAAGTGAAATGATATGACATTTGTCTTAGTCTGACTTATTTCACTTAGCATAATATCCTCTCTAGGTCCATCCACATTGTTGAAAATGGCAAGATCTCAATCTTTTTTATGGCTGAGTAATATTCCATCTGTGAAACATATTTCATATTATCATAATTTCACATTATATATATGCATATTTACCATATATATTATATATACGTATATACACATATCATTATACACATATCATGTAGATATATACACATATCTCACCTCTTCTTTATTTCTGGACACTTATTTATTTATTTATGGACACTTATTTATTTCTGGACATCTATTTCTGGACACTTAAGTTGTTTCCATATCTTGGCTATTATAAATAATGCTTATGGGTGCATATATCTTTTTGAATTGGTATTTTCATTTTCTTTTCATAAATACCTAGTAGTGGAATTGCTATATCATATAGTAGTTCTATTTTTAATTATTTGAGAAACCTCCATGCTATTTTCAACAGTGGTTGCACCAATTTACATGCCTATCAACAGTGCAAAATGGTTCCTTTTTCTTTTTTCCAAAAAAATTTCTTTATTTATTTTTGAGAGAGACAGAGTATGTGCGGGGGAGGGGCAAAGAGAGAAAGACACAGAATCTGAAGCAGGCTCCAGGCTCTGAGCTATCAGCACAGAGCTTAATGTGGGGCTCGAATTCATGACCTGCAAGATTATGACCTGAGCCGAAGTCGGATGCTTAACCAACTGAACCACTCAGGCACCCCAAAGGGTTCCTTTTTCTCTACATCCTCACCAACACTTATTATATCTTGTCTTTCTGATACTAGCCATTCTGACAGGTATGAGGTGATATCTTATTGTGGTTTTGATTTGCATTTTCCTGATGTTTGGTGATACTGAACATCTTTTCATGTGTGTTTGCTAACTGTATGTCTCCTCTAGAAAAATGTCAATTCGAGTCCTCTACCCATTTTAATCTGATCATTTGGCCCCCTCTTTTTTTTTTTTTTTTTTTTTTTTTTTTTTTTTTTTTTTTTTTTTTTTTTTTTTGGTATTTAGTTGCAATATATCATTTGCAAATATCTTCTTCCATTTATAGTCAATTGGCTTTTTGTTCTATTGATGGTTTCCCTGGCTGTGCAAAAGCTTTTTATTTCAGTGTGGTCCCAATAGTTTATTTTTGTTTGTGTTTCCCTTGCCTGAGGAGACATATCCATAAATTTGTTGCTAAAGCCCATATCCAAGAGATTACTACCTATGATTTCTTTTAATACTGTGATGGTTTCAGGTCTCACGTTTAGATCTTCGGGGCGCCTGGGTGGCGCAGTCGGTTAAGCGTCTGACTTCAGCCAGGTCACGATCTCGCGGTCCGTGAGTTCGAGCCCCGCGTCAGGCTCTGGGCTGATGGCTCGGAGCCTGGAGCCTGTTTCCGATTCTGTGTCTCCCTCTCTCTCTGCCCCTCCCCCGTTCATGCTCTGTCTCTCTCTGTCCCCAAAATAAATAAACGTTGAAAAAAAAAAAATTTAATAGATCTTCAATCCATTTTGAGCTTATTTTTGTGTATGGTCTAACAAAGTGGTCCAATTTCATTCTTTTGCACATAGCTGTCCAGTTTTCCCAACACCATTTGGTAAAGAAACTGTCTTTTCCCTATTGTATGTTCTTGCCTCCTTGGTTGCACATTAACTGACCATATAAGCCTGGGTTTATTTCTGACCTCTCTATCCTATTCCCCAGAGAAATGGCATTTTAAGGTATGCCTTCATCAAATGACAGGAGAAGAAAGGGGAGGAGAGGGAAAGGGAGGGGAAGAGAAATAACACTAGTAAGTTCTTAGGCAGGAGGAATGGCTAGCCATTTTGGGAAAGGACTCTTTCTGGAGGGTCTCTTCTCATTCCAGCCTAGGATCTTTAGAATAAAGTCATAGAGAAAGAAAAACAAATGCTTCAGGACCTCTCTGAAGGTACATCTCAGCCCAAAGCACACTTCCTAGGGAGTCAATGGGCCCTGAAAGATGTTCCTACAAAGAATCTGAAAAGTGAAAGGGAGTGATACAGGTCTGTATATAAACAAACCTCTCTCTACAGCAAAGGCCCTGAAAGAAATAAGTGAAACTACAGGAAAACAAAGCCAGGGGCTGTGTGATTACAGTTAGCTAGAAATGCATCTGTGTGTTTTCTGGGTCTGCTGAACTCTTAGAGGTTTGATGAAGAAACAGGACAGACAATAAAATCACACTAGTTCCAATCAGGTCCTTAAGTGGTGCATTATATACCCTTAGAAAGTAAAGAATTAGGAGGTTTATCGTCCTCACATACACAAATGGGAACTCCATTTCTGGGGTAGGGGGAAGAGGGCAGCGGTGAGAAGCAGAGAGGGCAGCAAGAGAAAATTCACCAAAAAACAGCCATTTACCCGTTCGTGGAGGACACCAAACAGTGTGCCGACAGTGATGCGCTCGTAAACAAGGCGGGTCTTCTCTAGGTCTTGGGACAGGCACACAGCCATCAGCTGTAGCAGGTGCGGGTGCCGCAGCTTACTACAAAACAAAAGCAGCTTCACATGAGGTAGAGGGCAGAAAGATATGATGAAAAAATGAGTGCTTTCCTTCCTCCTAGGCCCCTTGAACACATTCTAAACAAATACCATTTGTACCTAATGTCTTTCTAAGAAAACAGGATGGGTGGGGTGAGATAGGGATAGGGGAATCTATGGTCTCTCACTGATCAGAACCTGAGGGCTTAGTCATCGACAATGATGATGACAAGACACAACATCACCAAGAGCTACTGATCAAGGTACTTTACATGCATCATCTCAACAACCACCTGTACGAAATACTTTATACTCATTTTTGAGATAAGGAAAACAAGGTCAGGGAGATGTCAGAAACTTGCCCAAAGTCACACACCCCTCAGTCTCACATCAAAGCCCACATTGTGTATATGTATCCTTCCAGCCTCCTGGGGTCCCTTTAGGCTGATTTCCCCCAAAAGGAAGAGTTTGGCCTCTGATACATCTCTTGCAGGGGTTGAGTGTCCTACTCAAGGAACTGGGTCCATTCATTCAGCAGTCCTGGTGTGAAACCATGAACCAAGATCCTGCTTTAGCAAGAGCTAAAGGATTAACCCTGGAGCCGTAGGAAACTTAAGGTACTAAGGTACACCCATGGGCATGTCCTCAATGGCAGAGACTCAGTTCCTCAGTTGTGTGGATCTCATGCACAGCCATCATCTATGAAGACAGGACTGTGCATGCTGTCCTCTTGGGCACAGGGCCAAAAAGCCTCAGGGGCTACTGGCTTGGAGGCTGGCTTGGAGACAAGTGTTATGGGAAGTCAATCAGCTAACAGAATTAAGCCCCTCAGCACCACCATTCCCACCCCTCAGGCTATCCATTAATTTCCCTTTCTCTCTCTCTCTCTTTCTCTAGAAGTCAAATGAGCCCATTCCAACAGTCAGGAAATGCTGAGGCTGAGGGGGGGCTGGTCTCCACACCTCTGCAACAGCACCAGCATCAGCACCGTACAGCCCTGAACTTGGGTCTGTAAAGAGACGTGGATTGTAACGCACCAGGCTCTTGGGCTGCTTTCTCACCTGCTGTGTTCCTGCTCTGCAATTAACAAGTCAGCCAGCCGAACCCTGCTGCAGTGAGGATGGGTGGGGAGATTCAGCTCCTTCACTGTGACCCTGCTCCCATTCCACACCAGACTACAAGGGCAGGAGAAAGTGTGAGAGCAAGGAATGAGCAGCTCTCCCAGGCAAAAACAGGAGAAGTGGCATTTACACAGAATCTATAAAGCAACTCCACTCTGCACCATTGGGTCCTCCCTTCCCCTACCCCCCTAGTCCTAAAGCACCCTCTGGAACTTAGTATGAGTGGCAGGAAGTCACTGAAGGATTTGAGGGAGGGAGTGACTCCACCAGGTTTGCATTTCTTTTTCATTTTTCAATGTTTGTCTATTTATTTACTTATTTAAAGTTTATTTTATTTATTTTGAGAGGGACACAGAGAGTGTGAGTGGGAAAGGGGCAGAGAAAGAGGGAGAATCTCAAGCTTTAGCTGCGCTATCAGCCCATGCTGGGCTCAAACTCAGAAAACTGAGAGACCTGAGCTGAAATCAAAAGTTGGACGTCCAACCAACTGAGCCACCCAGGAGCCCCCATTTATTTATTGGGGGGGGGGGGGCAGGGTGGGCAGAAAGAAAGGGAGAGAGAAAATCCTAAACAGCATCCATGCTGTTAGCACAGAGCCCAATGTGAGGCCTCTATCTCATGAATCAAACCATGAGATTATGACCTGAGCCGAAATCAAGAGTAGAATGCTAGCCAGGTGCCCCTGGGTTTGCATTTTAGAAAGACAACAGCATTAGGGGCACCTGGGTGGCTCAGTCAGTTAAGTGTCTGACTTCAGCTCAGGTCATGATCTCACAGTTCGTGGGTTTGAGCCCCGCATTGAGCTCTGTGCTGACAACACAGAGCCTGGAGTCTGCTTTGGACTCTGTGTCTTCCTCTCTCTCTGCCCCTCCCCTGCTCATTCTCTGTCTCTCTCTCTCTCAAAAATAAATAAACATTAAAAAAAAAAAAAGATAACAGCACCAGCAGTGTGGGGAATGGTAGGGAGGGGTGGTCAGAAAATGGGGAACTGGCTAGGAAGCTAGTCTGTGTGAGGGGCACTGATGACTTGAACAAAGACCACAGCAGTAGGACAGAAAGGAGGGGGGACCTGGTAACAAATCTGTGGCACAGGCAGGAAACTAGGGGATAGAGGGCCTCAGGAGTCTGGCAGAGGCCTTTTTGGAAAGGTGTTTCTTCTAGGCAGGGAAGAAGCATCCAGGTTCAAGCAGGCCAAGAAACCTTGGCCAAGACAACTCTTGGGACCCTGCAGGTGCCAGGTCTCTGAGGACTGAGAATACCCCAGGCACTTTTGTCATAGACAAATCCCATTACTGCTTCCCCCGCCCCCGCAGCTGGCTTCCACAGAGGCCTCAATCAATACCCTCTGGCCTATATCAGAGGCCAGACGGTAACCACTAAGCTGCCTCTAACTCTAGAAAACAGAGAGATTAGAACATCATCATGAGTAATCTTTTAGATAAGTTGTTCTGGGGTGGGGGGATGGGGGGCATCTGGCAATGTCTGTAGACACTCTGAGTTGTCACAGTCACAATGGTGGAAAGGGGTCAGCAGAGGCTGGTACCGGCATCCAGTGAGTAGAAACCAGAGATGCTCTTAAACATCCTACATTGCACAGGACAGCCCCCAACAACGAAGGATACCAGCCAAAAACATCAATGGTGTCCAGGTTGAAAAACCCTGATTTTGACGTATATTCTTCATTGTTTGTGTTTTGGGGGAAACCCTCCACACATAAGGGAATCACATGAAGCCCACCCTTCCTGTGGGACTAAATCAGACCTCCCACTGGCCAGCTTCTGCTTACTTGGTCATGACCATGTAGGGGCCACTGAAGAAAGAGAAGGTAGGCTCATCATCAGCTTGAATCACTTCCTTTTCTCCAATTACTGGAAGAGATCCCAGGTAGGCCAGCTGTGCTCCCCCTGTGAGATAAAACTGAGAGCAGAGCACAGCTTCAAATTGAGGGGAGAAAAGAGGAAAAGCAAAATGCCCTCAGAATCCTGTGCCAGCTAAAAATAATAACTGCTATTTACCAAAAGTTGCTGAATTCCCCTATGCACTGGACACTATTCTTTAATTTGTACTATCTTTAATCTGCCTAGAAACCCTGCAAGGTTGTAATATTCTTTCCCTTTTACTAGTGAGGAAACCAAGGCTCATGAAGAGAGGTCAGATGCCTGCCTGAAGTACCAGGCTGGGGCTCACAGGCCTCTTGTGCCCCCACAGAACCCAGACCTATGTGCAGCCAAAGCCAACATTCCTGCTCCCTCCTTCCCACCCAAGGCTGCCTAGGCACAACCAACAGATGCGGGGCTAGGGAAAACTGTCAGCAAACATCACCCAGACACCCAGTTACATTCCCAAATGTCTCTCTTTGATGGGCAGAACCAAGAACCCAAAAGATATTTTCCCTCAACACATTTCTCAGTTCAAAATCTCAATGCCTTAAAGGCATTCCAACAAAAAGTTACGGAGGGCAAGTCAACCACCAATTGGGAATTAATGAAAGGATCATTTTCTAAACTCCCCAAATCTAGCCCAATGTCATTCAAGGGAACTTTCCAGGGCTTTCTCCATTTTTCAGTAAGGACAAGAAGACTAAGAGTTATCTGTCCTGCAAAAGTAGTAAAGAAGAAACATAACACTCTGGAGAGGGTAAGGAAGAAAGAGTTGGACAGGGTTGGGGGACGTGGGGCCAGAGTCAGGGCCAGTTGGCTCTCCAGTTGGCCCTGCAAATGCTGGGTGTCCGTGGCAACCTCTTACCTTCCCAAAGCCAAAGCTGTAGATATTTTGTGCAGAAATGACTCCAGCTTTAAGCAGTCGGTTAGGAGAGCCATTAGGGTTTCTAGAAGTATTTTTAAAAGGAAGAAAAGTAAGAATTAACCATATCCAGAGGAACTGAGCTATGAATTAACCATATCCAGAGCTATGAGAAAGTGTAGCTCATTTTGTCTTTACTACTTGACTTTTTATCATGAAACTACGTAAGAGCCAGCCTATGAGAGGGCCCTGTGATTTCCACCTCCTGGTAATCTTGCCTTTGTGGGTTTCAGATAGGGCAGACCTGTTAGGCCAACTGGGCACTGAATAAATGATGGAGTGGTTGATTTCCAAGGCTAGATCCACCAGAGCTTCTGTTCTGATCACTCTCGGATCCCTTGCTCTGAAGGAGGCCAGCTACCATGTTGTGAGGACACTCTAGCAGCCCTATGGAGAGGCCCAACACCCACTATCAATTTGCCAGCCATGTGAGTATGCTATCTTGGAACTGGATCCTCCAGTCCCAGTGAAGCCTTCAGATGAGAAAGCCCTACCTGACATCTTGACTACAACTTCGTAAGAAACCCTAAGCCAGATCCACGTAGCTAAGCCATTCCCTGAATTCTGACCCACAGAGATTGTGTGAGATTCAAATGTTTACTGCTGTTTGAAACTGCTAAGTTTGGGTGGCTTGGGGGTGGATTCAATATGCAGCAATAGATGATGAGTTCAAATGGTCGAAGTTGGAAAGAATCAAAACATGTCTTTTTTTCTTTTAAGAACAAAACATCTTATCCAGCTTTTATTTTTATAGATGGGACAAATGGAGCCCAGAGAGGGGGAACCTGCTGGTCTGAGGTCACAGAGCAGCAGGAATGGCCAGACAGACCCTGATACTCATTCCAGCCACTGCTCTTTCCACATACCACACCCAAACCACCACTGTGGGACACTGCACACTGGGACCCCCCCATGAACTGAGAGTCTGGCAAGGAATGGCTTATATTTCTTTGGCTCCCCAAGGCTGGCATGGTGCCATGCATGTAGTAGGTGCTCACTTAATGCTTTCCGAATGAGTAGTTTAGGCTCAGATTGAAGGACAACACATTGTGCTAGTGCTGGAGCCATTTTCCCTCCCTCAGCAAATGGCAAAGGAGCTGCAGGTAACAGTGTGTACTCATCCTCACCCCACATCAGCTCTGTGAGGCTCCATGTGCCCACTTTTCATGCACAGAAGCAAATTCTTTACTCTGCTTTCAGAGATACTTTTAGGCTCTATCTCATTAGCAACTTAGGCCAGGCTGTCCCTTCCTCACTTTTAGCTGCTGTGAGGTTTAAATGAAGACTCCACAGTTTGGACTGAGATAAATTGGACATCCCAATTTATACGTAATGTTCCAGTATCATTCGTGGTAGCATCCCCTTCACTCGAAAAGCAGCCCAGCATGGAGCATAAGCTATCTGGTCAACGTAATCTGAGTGGACATGCCCCCTTCTTACACCAAATTCTTAATCTCCTCTAGAAACAGAGGCTACATGCTCAGGCCTCAAATATCCAGGGGACAACAACTGTTTCCTGCCCAGGGGAACAGATTTTGAGGTGGCAGCAACGGCATGCCTCCCCAGCAGCACCAGAACAGGAGGATACCATTGACACTACTCCCCCTTCCCATCTGGGGCTTCTCAGGTATGTGAGTGGCTTTTTAAAGGGTATGAGCTCCGTTTAAGCAGAGGAACTGGCTGTTCTCCAGCAGGGACCTGGACTATAACTACAATCAGATCAACATTTCTTGCTCTTTTACCTGAATTTCTCAGGCCATGTCTATTTAAGTAAATTCAGCTGGGTGGAAGGGGGAAAACTGACTTCCGTTATCGATAACAATACAACCATCTGTTCTTCTCAATTCAGTGCTTTTTCTTTCCCCCCAACCAGGCTCTACGTAAACACGTACCTGTGAGGAATCTTACCGACAAGGGCCTCACTCACAGATCTGAGAAGCCAGTTCTTATCTCAAGGATTCATGTGTTTTCTTCACATTAAAAAGGGGGATGTAAAAAAAAAAAAAAAAAAAAAAAAAAGGGGGGGGGATGTATGTACTTCCACTCTACTTTCCATTAAGTACTGCATGGTCCAACCCCATTAAAAAAATAATGTTTCATCTAACTATAAAATAAATGCTACATCTAGATTAGTATCTGAAATTTGTTAGGTTTTTTAACACTTAACTTGGATTTTCCTTTAGGCTGGCCCTTGTACCCCCTCACCTTGTACTCAGCCCTACCATACAACAAGCAGTGAAGGGCTGGTGATGGTGAGCAAGACACACACAGGCCTTGCCCTCTTGGGGTTGTGGAACTGTATAAAATTTCTGAATGTGACAGACTCCATTTTGAAGTTCCATCTTCTTTTCCAACTAATGAACTCCTGAACTGGGCCAGAAGCAGCAATGGTTTCACAAAGCAGTTGCCCATAAAATTCAACAGAACAAATGGCATTCATGCCATAAAACTGTTGGTATGAACTTTAAGACAGAATAGTTTACTAATGCACACCAAGAATAGTTTTATTTGACAGCACCAAAAAAAACAGAGAGTAATCAAAAATAGCTCAAGGGGTGCCTGGGTGGCTCAGCTGGTTGAGCTGACTTCAGCTCAGGTCATGAACCCACTGATTGTGAGTTCGAGCCCGGCGTTGGGCTCTGTGCTGACAGCTCAGAGCCTGGAGCCTGCTTTGGACCCTGTGTCTCCTTCTCTCTCTGTTGCTCCCCTACTTTCTCTCTCTCTCTCTCTCTCAAAAATAAAGAAAGGTTAAAAAAATAAAAAAAAATAAAAAACCAGCTCAAGCAGTTACTTAGTACCAGTTAACAGGCTTTTTCCTCTTCTCTTCTTTATCTAAGTTCTATAATTAGCCCCCTTCTTTCTCACAAAAAAGACTCACTTTCCCCCACTTTTCTGCTTGGTACCAGAATCTGTGCTCCCTGAATTGCAATTCTGAGACCCCAAATAAAAGGTCTTTGTGTCTTGTTCAGTTTTGCCTCCTTTTCTCAGTTAGCAGTGTTCAGTCTTATTAGAAACAGGCAAGAACATATATAAATAAAATCATTACAAACTGGGACAAGTCTCTCCAAACTCTGAAGGAGGGAACTCCACACAAGGGGGAGGGCAAGGACAGGCAAGGAGCCGAGCTCAGCAGGGCCTCCAAGGTCAGATGAGGAAGTAGGAGTTTATTCTGATAGCTATGAGGAATGACCTAAAGGGTTTTTGGCAGAGACTGGCAAAAGTGGCAGGGGGGCATGGGGGGAGCAGTTAGAAGTAACTAGACCTCAAGGGAATTAACTCATTTTTCCTAAGAAGCCAACAGCACCCAGAAAGAAAACCAGGACTTGTGCAGGGAAGGACAGGACAAGGAAGCCTGCGAGGGTGTGACAAGTCTTACAACTCTGACTACAGAAAGTGATGCCATCAGAGAAAATCAAAATGGAAAGGATTCTCTGGATACAAACCCTGAATTAATAAAGCCCTAAGAACTTTATTTTATTTTGTTTTATTTTAAGCCCTAAGAATTTCAAATAGCTAGGCAGTTGAGCATGGAGATAAACCTGAGGCCCACCTCCTGCAGCTGTGATGGGGTTAGGTGGGCTGCCCACTAGCTGGCAGCAAATCACGCCAGCTTAACACAGCCTGAGGACGCTAGGTTAAGCATTTGTATTCTTTTGTAGTCTTAGAGATAAAGGAACACTCTTTCCATGGTTTGGGAGAGGACAAAAAATCCAGTTGGCTGCTCTGCTGGGAAGGAGTTTTCTGCAGGGCTCCTCAGACCTGAAAAGTTCTTTCTTTGCTAACCACAGGGTGGTGCCCACTAGAGCCCAGAACTCATTTCCCCTGGACATTCCTGGATAGGGACACGACAGCTGAAGGTGCTCCTCTGGGTACATTTTTAAGCGGCCACATCCTCTCCTTCAGAGCTCACCACTTAGGGTGGGCCAGATCCTGGAGGGGACCAATATGGAGGGGACCATGGTGGCTCACGGTGCAGGACTCCTACAAGAAAGGCTGGGATGATGCCCGCCGAATATTCCACTTGGCTCAGCTCAAGGCAGCACTCACCCCTGTATGAGGCCACCAAGCCGGGGTGGGCCACTGATGAGCCGCTGAGGGGAGTCAATCTTCTTTAGGAGGTCATAGGAGAAGCCCTGTATGATGGCCTGCATGTGCGAGGCACAGCGCTGCATGAACTCCACCATCTGCAACACAGCGTGAAGATGCTCAGTGCTGAGGCAACTAGTGGCTACCCTGGCTTTCAGTGCAACTGGAAGAGTCTGACATGAATGGAGCTGAGGAGCCAGGAGCCCCTGACAGGGAAATCTCTGGAAAGGGAAGGGCTCAAGTGATTTTTTTTTTTACAGAATGTTTCCAGAGAGGTGATTTGGCAATCATTTCCTCCAACTCCCTCCATTAACAGATGAGGAAACTGAAGCAGAAGGAGCAAAATTACTTGTCTAAAGCGAACAGCTAATGAGTTGGAGAACCAGGGGGAGGGAAGGGAGGCCTCTGCCCACCTCCCTCCTCCCTCCACATGCCAAGTATTGTGCACGCACTTTATGCTTTACATCTGTTATGTTATTTAGACCTCATTCAAACGCATCACACCTGCCAATGTGCAGCCTCAACAGGTTATGTAATGTCAGTGGGCCTCAGTTTCCTCATCTGTTAAATGGGGACAATAACGCCATCTACATGACCGATTTATTGTGAAGATTAAATGACTTAATACTGAGCTAATTTAATTCAGAACCTCTGATGTGTAGTTAAGTGCTAGTCAAGGGTCAAAATTACAACTGTTCTCCCTCCTCAGGTGCTTGGGAGGCTCAGTCGGTTAAGCGGCCAACTTCAGCTCAGGTCATGATCTCACTCACAGTTTGTGGGTTCAAGCCCCGCATCAGGCTCTGTGCTGACAGCTCAGAGCCTGGAGGATGATTTGGATTGTGTCTCCTTCTCCCTCTGTCCCTCCCCTGTCGCACATGGTCTCTCAAAAAAAAACTCTTCTTCCTTCTCACTGAATGGATGGCCAGGAAAGAAAAGTTCACTAATCTTGCCTGAGGTTTTATAGCTGGGTAACTTGCTTCAACCCAGGCCTGTGTGTCCAGTGCCGAAAGCAAGACCACTACAAGCCCTGTGCTGTCCCCAGGATCAGCCCCTGATCCCTGGGCTCCTGGCTCCCAGCCCAGTGCTCTGCCTTGGCTGTGGCTACAGAGTGGGCCCAACCTTACCACAGTGCTGCGCTCCTTCCCTGCTGTCAGGGCCCAGGTCTGTGGATTTTGACCCTTCTCGTCGTGGAGTCGAAGATCACCCCCTGCATCCAGCAGTTTACTGAGGATCCACTGATTCCCTGAAAATGCTGCTGCATGAACAGGGGTGCTCCCATCAAAGCAGCGGCTGGAGGGGAAAGTAGCAGTATAAGGTGGGGGGGGATTCAATGGGTGACACAAAAAGCTCTCTTTTTACAAAGGAAACCTTTGGGAGGATATAATAATATCATTTGTGAGGCTTTGCCAACAGGAGCTTTATACACATCCTCTTTTTCCACCCTTACCTCTACCCTTCAAGGTGGTATCATTTTCCAATATACAGATAAGGAAACAAAAGGGCAAAGCTGAAATTCATACCCAAGTATGGGTCTGGTTCCAAATCTGGTATCCCTTTTCCCATTGCCCTTTGATACTGGCTGCTCTGAAACAATTTCTTCATGTGTGTAGGGTCTCGAGGTCAGGCTGGTGAAGCACAACCTAACCAGACACCATCCCTCTCTTGTGAGAATGTCTCTATCTCCCAAATCCCCCAGTAGAGGCCCGCAAAACCTTGGCACCAGCAATCTGATCAAGAATCTACAGGGCCCAGGGACGCCTGGGTGGCTCAGTAGGGTTGAGCGTCCAACTTTGGCTCAGGTCATGATCTCATGATTCGTGAGTTCGAACATTGTTTCGGACTCTGTGCTTGACAGCTCAGAGCCTAGAGCCTGCTTCTGATTCTGTGTCTCCCTCTCTCTGCCCGTACTCCGCTCATACTCTCTCTCTCAAAAATAAACATTAAAAAAAAAAGAAACTTAAAAAAAAAAAAAGAATCTACAGGGCAGCTGGGTGGCTCAGTTGGTTAAGTATTGACTCTTGGTTTTGGCTCAATTCATGATCTCATGGTTTGTGAGTTCAAGCCCCACATGGGGCTCTGTGCTGAGGGTACTGAGCCTGCTTGAGATTCTCTCCATCTCTGCCCCTTCCTTGCTTGTGTTCTCTCTCTCTCAAAATAAATAAATAAACTTAACAAAAAAAATCTGCAACTCAGGAAAACGTCACCAAAGCCAATTAACAATCTGAAGCATAAGGGGGTGGCATTTATTGTGTTCAGAATACAGTGATATGTGATATATAGCTGTGGTTTCTTAACCTGGCTGCACATTAGGACCACACAGGAAGCTTACTGTGGTTCTTGTGAAAAAGAAACAAAAACAGGAGAAGGCAGAGGGAAAAGAGAAGGAGAAGAAGAAACAAAATGAAAACGGAGGAGGAAGTTGAGAAGAAAGAAAGGAGTCTGAAGGTGGTAGTGCCTGACTGGCTCAGTTAGTAGAGCATGTGACTCTTGAGGTGATGTGAATCTTGAGGTCATGAGTTCAAGCCCCACACTGGGTGTGGAGCCTACTTTAA